CATGTGTTCAGGCTAAGATGCATTTCAGTCTAGCAATTTGTTGTTCAATGGCTAACCAAATGCTTCTCAGGAGCCTGCAAACAGGAGATGGAGACTTACTTTTTGATCTCCTATTTGTAGAAGTATTAAGGAGATGGAGACTTATTTCTTGATCTCTTATTCGTAGAAATATTAAGAAGACCCAGATGTAAATTGTCTGAAACAAACTTTCTAGGAAGCTCCTTTTTCCATCTAAAGAAAGTTCTGAAGGGGGACAGTTTGGTTATGGCTTCATGGAATGTCTTTTACTAAAGTTAGGGGGTATTTGGTCTTTGTTGTTTTTTTTTAAAGGAAGCGTGCTTTTCAGAAATTACAATTTTACCTAAATTTGGAATCAAGGATGGAGTTCACGGTTCTACAAGGGTAACATGAAGACAGGTAGTCCTCAGCGTACAACTACAGTTGGGACCAGAATTTTCACTGCTAAGAAAGGGGGTTGCTAAATGAGTCACATCCAACGTTATGACCATTTTGCCATTGTTGTTAAGCAAATATGGCTTACCCCATTGACATTGCCTGTTGGAAACTGGCTGGGAAAGTCACAAATGGCAAATCACATGATCTTGGGATGCTGCCACTGTTTCCAAAGCACCTGAAGGCAGGACAAGAAGCAACGGATGAAAACTAACCAAGGAGAGAAGCAACCTAGAACTAAGGAAAAAATTCCTGACAGAACAATTAGCCGGTGGAACGACTTGCCTCCAGAAGCTGTGAATGCTCCAACATTGGATGTTTTTAAGAAGAGATTGGACAGCCATTTGACTGATATGGTATAGGGTTTCCTGCCTGACCAGGGGATTGGACTAGAAGACCTCCAAGGTCCCTTCCAACTTTCTATTTCTATTTCTTTCTATTCTATTCTACTCTATATATGCATACCTTGCTCCCCCTCACCCCCCCTCCTGTATAGGGAGCATTAGATGAGGAAGAGGTTCAGCATATTAAATTTCACTATATAGGATTACACCCAGAATGAAACGTAGAAAGAAAATCAAGTCATGGGATATTCAAGGAAGTTGTGATGTTTGTTATTTGACTGGAAAGCTAACATTAGAAACAGCAAGAAGGACAGTGTTCAGTTGTATAGTTTGGGAAACCGAAATAAAAAGAGCTGATCAGTTTCTGTTGATTCAATACCTTCATGGCTAAAACAGTTTTCAGGCTTGTACAAATGGACATCACTAGATGGGAAACACAGAAAGTAAATTGATTTATCTGATTGGTACAAGCAGGTAGTACAGCTAATTAGGGCTGTACTAATTGGGACATTGGGAGAGATAATGAAGGGTTCATGTGCAGGTTCCAAGCCAATCAATTTCTACAATGTCATCTTAAGACGTCTACAAGATCTACAACGTGATCTCATTTTCAAGGAGGACACCAGGAATCCCTTGAACTCCAGAACCTCATTGGCAGGAAACCTAAGGAATTGTGAGATGAAAGCAAAGAGATTATGAAGGATAAACATGAATAGAGAGTACTGAAGACTAGGAAACCAAAGAAAGCAAACAGGATGTCAGAACCAATGGTAACTACCCCAAAAAGAAGTAAAGGTAAGACCCAGAAGGGCAAAGAACTCAGGAATTTAACAAAGAATTCCAGAGAGCCATTAGAAGAGGCAAGGAGTAGTATTAACAATGGCATCTTTAATAACCCTGAAGATAGAAACAGACCAAGAGTCTTAATAAAGATCTTTGAACGTCAATCTGGTATGTTAAAGAATGCCAATGAGCATCTAATAAATTATTCAAAGAAGATCAAAGAAAGAGTATGTAGAAGATATTCCCTACTTATAAGAATGTCTAGTACTAGAAAATGAAGTTAGGTCAGCACGCCAGTTACTATCAAGTTGGAAGACTACGGGAGTTAGACTAATTAGCCAGAGGTATCAAGCTAGGAATCAACTCCACAAGTAGGCTGAAACTTTTATGATTAGTGGCTTTAATAACAGGATTTGGCAAGTTAGTTGTGCTGAACCTTCTCCCCCTTTTGCAATCACCACCACCACCATCATCATCACCATTGTCTGTCCACTGTAGAATGAAGGCCTCTTCCACATGTTTCCAATCCCAGAACATATCACTGTCTTCATGAGGAATAGAAAACCATAGCCTGAATGACACATGGCAAAATGGGCTAGCTTCTGGTAGGTTGAATTGGAAAATGACGTGCGCGGTTTTAACACTGGAAGAAGAAACAGCAGTAATCTAAAGCTAAAGTTAATGACACTGCTCTGATAGCTGAAAAAGTAAATGATCTGGAAGTTCTAGTAGTCAAGGAGTACAGTGAAAAAAATGGGACTCAAGATTAAATATAAAGCACACAAAGAATGACAACTGGTTGAGTGACCAGCTCTAGAACTGACAAAGATGATATTGAAGTGGTAAATAGCTGCTGTCTTTTAGGATCAGTTCAGCAGTAAAGGAACCAGCAATCAAGAAATATGCTGCAGAATATTTAAGGGCTTAGAAGAGTTATTCCATGTCTTTCTTCTACAAGCATCAGAATTGTGCACGCAATGGTTCCCCCAAAATACTTTGTGGAAGAAAAAGTTGATGAAGATGGTGTCCTGTTTCAGGTTTCAAACTCATATACATCCGGTTGCTAGGTAAAAATAACATTTTTACTCAGGGCAAATAAACAATTTACTCAAGATAGGAATCAAAACTGTCTACGGAAAAGGAGGTTTGCCCAAGTGGTTTTTGCTTTCAACGGGTAGCACACAGAAAGTAGTCAACATTCATTCCAAAGTTCAGAGAGCCAAATCGGGTTTGTGTAAAACAAACGCCGTAGCCTTTTCTTCACTTAAAGAATTCTGAATTACAGAGACTGAAAATAATTAATAATAATAATAATAATAATAATAATAATAATAATAATAATAATAATAATAATAATAATAATAATAATAATAATAATAATTGAATCCATTTGGAGTGAAAAAATCAGAATCAATTAAAACACCACAAAACAATACATTTTAAAATTCTGTAGAACCCTTCATCGGACCAGGCGGGGAGTAAAATCAGAGGCAGAAAACAGAGAAAGGAGCAGAAAAAGTAATTCATCCATTTCCTACAATTTGGGACAGCCGTTGCTAACCAAATGTAGGTGGAGAGATTGAGTGATTGGATATCATGCAATAGAGGTGGGTTTTTTTCTGAGGAGGCGGGTAACGAAACTGAAAAGAGATGACAATGAGTTGACATCCATCACTTTGTAGAAAGAATTATCTTTGTGTCTTTCCCACAGGCCTATTACGAGGTTTGTTAGTATGATTTCCTAATTGGTTTAAAAGGCTTGCGACAAGTCAGTTCATGTTTTGAGAAGGTACTTTTTCTGTATAACTAGATCAACAGCCTTAAGTCTCATCCGTGATGCTCTCTTATCACAAGTTCTCATCTACCATGGTTGTTTTTAACCATTTAGTCGTGTCCGACTCTTGGCGACTTTATAGGCAAGTGCTCTCTATTTATCCTACCTTATCCAGCACAATTGTTGGATGTTCATCTTTGTATGAGTTTCAATGTTATCAAGCCATTGTGTTGTTTGCCTCTTCTCTTCTTCTTGTTCCACTCATCATTTCTACCATCATTGCTTTCTCCAATGAACGTGGAGCATACATGACGTGGCCAAAATAAATCAGACATAGTATCCATCGTAGTATCATTGTAATAGCTATCATGGGGTTACTATAAATCTTGAAACATAGCACAGCGGTGTTTTAGAGACTACGGGAGGAATTTTAAATATTGC